GAAAGATATGTTGTTTTTCCTTGTGTGTTTGACCAGGTTTGCTTTTTCAAAAAAATTACCAAAAAAGGAAATTTTTAGGAAAAAGGAGGATCAGCGAAAAGAGTTCATTTATAATACAAGTATAATATAATAAATAATATATAGTATAATATAATATATAACTTAAATTATAATATAATATAAATATAATATAATGAATAGTAGTATAATATAATATATAATATTAAATTTTATTAAAACAATATTAATAATTTTATTTAAATAAAAAAAATCAATTGGTTATATTTCCTATCTTTAAAAATTTTATAATCTTTTTTATTATAAAAAACTTTTTTTATATCAACTGTATTAAAATAATAATTGTTTATTCAATAATATCTAATAATGAATATTTAATTTTAAAATAATAGTAAAATTATTTAAAGGAATATTATTTTTAAATTGCTGAAAATATTGATATTTAAAATTATGCAAATATCAATATCAAAAGTTAAATTTCTATCTAAAACTTTAATTAGGAAGGATATTGAAAAAGGTTAAAATTAAATTATTGCTAAATTATTAAAATTTATTTTTATTAATTAATTGACTTATTTAAAAAATAAAGAATTATATACTATATATGGGTCAAAGAACTAGAAAGAAAAATATTAAATTTGAAAAACAATTAGATTTAATAAAATCTATAAATAACAAGTTTTTTAAAAAATTAAAACAATAAAAAAAATAATAATAAAAGATATAAAAAAGAAAATTAATTGATTTAAATCTGTGAAATCTGTAAAATTTGAACTTGATTTTATAAAATTGTAGAATCGAGAGCAATTAAGATAACAAAATTAAAAAAGTCATTAAGTTTAAAAAAACACTAAAAAATATAATCTAAAAAAAGTAATAAAGAGGCAAAATAAATAAAGTTTTTTATAAAAGATGAGTTAAAACTAGTATAAACAGAATTAAAAATAAAGACTTAATGAAATTTATTTTTAATAAATATAAACAGAGAATAAATATAGTTTTTCAGGTAATGTAATTAAAAAAATATTATAAAGTTAATATCTAAATTAATAAAATCTATAGTTTTATATTTTAATTTTTTATAAAAACAAATAAATAATTAATTAAATATTTTATATTATTAATAAAAAGTAAAATATTAAAAAGTAAAAACTGAAAAATTAGAAGTGAACAATTGTTATTATATACAAATAACTAATAAAATAAAATAAAATTAATAATATTCTATATTTCTATTATTTTTAAATTATTAATTTTTAACAAATACTTAAGAAAAGAGTATAAAAAAATTAAAAGTATACAATTATATATTGAATAAAGATCTAAGAAAGTTATTAAATATTAGAATAAATTAATAAATATAATTAAAAAAAAATAAATATTTATTTATCTTTAAAAAGTAAAACTAATTTGAAAAAATAATTAAAAGAAAAATAAATTATATACAGTAATTATAGTTGATATTCTAAAGAAGTATTTTTTGTTAAAATATTTTCAAATAATTATAATATTAATTATAATTATTTATAGTTATGTAAAGGATTTATTGAAATGTTTATGATTGACTATAATATTTTTTAAAAAACTATTATTCATTAAATTTTATTGAAATGTAATAATAAAATGATCAAGGTATAATGGTTTTATAAATAAGCAGATCAAGTTATAAAAAATAAAATTTTAATTAATTACATTAATAAAATATAATAAAGTTGATAAAAAAATTTTTTTTAAAAAAATATTTTAATTTGAAAAATCATAAATTATTTATTTTATAATAATAAATTATTAATTTTTATATCTAGAATAAATAACAAAATATTAGTTTAAAATTTATTTGATCAAATTAATAAAATTTTAAATTGTAAAAATTATTTTAATCTGTAATAATTTATTAAAATATTATTAAAAATTTTTAATTTTAAATCTTAATAATAATAAATTGATATAAAAATTTATTACAATTAAATATTTATACACTCTCAAAGTATATTACGATTTTTTTTTCTCACTAAACGCATAGATAAACTTTGATTCCAAGTACATACGTATAACTCTTAAGAAAACCCTTTTTCTAAGTACAGGTTTTTTTTTTTTTTAGAAATTTTTTATATAATCTCGAGAATCTGTACTTAGAGGGTTGACTAAAATAAACAAATTATATGGTGTAATGAAAAACACGGTTTTTAAAAAAATAATTTCAGTATATCTTAAAATAATAAAATGGTTCGAATATACGGCAAATTGAATAGAAATAGATGCGCTAAAAAGGTCATCACGTATTGATCCCCTTATTATTATCGGCATTGTTTTCTAAATCGACAGTGGTCCAATATAAAACCAGCCAGCTTATTTAATAAATTAGACTGCTCGGCTAAATTTAATTTAAATACATTTCCAAAATTCACTCTGTATGGGGATATCTCTTTCGTGTAATAAAGAATAAAGAAATGTTCCTATTGGATGTTGGGAAACTACTTTATCATGTCGCACGGGGATAAATATGATTCTTAAACTCGGTAATTCATAATTAATAACTTCTAGATACTGTGTAAAAAGAAAAGAATCATGAATACAACGTCATCACACCGATTTCAATTTAGCATCTCGAACTTCTTGCGTTGTATATATGCGTCCGTTTTTGACTTGATTAACCGACTATGTCAAAAAATTCCGAGGAAAATAAACATATTTGCAATCACACCAATGGGAAAATCGATAGCTCTAGATGTGCGAACGGACTTCATTATTCGTCAAGTAAAACAACTAATATATGACGCAGAAGGAATTCCCACTCATCACCAACATCTTACTTATAACGGCAAAGATCTCGAGAATAATCGACCTCTTTGCTATTATGGAATTGATCATAATGCCACACTGATCGTAAGAAAAATTAACGTGGATAACGTCACCCATTATGTCGTCGATCCAGAGAACCTAGATCCCGAATATGATTGTGACTTCACCAACATCAAAGATGAAGGTGCAAAATTCGTGCGAGGAGGATTGGCGTATAAGCGTCCAGCTGGTTGGAAACGTTACGCACTCAAGGTACTTGGCAAATACGAGAATGACGCTTGGTTAGGCGCAGGAACGAACGGAAACGAGTGGCCAGTCTCATATCATGGCACGGCCTATTGCAATGCCAATTCCATTGCGGATAATGGATATTCGCTGAAAAAAGGAAAAAATTTTGCTTACGGTCACGGGACCTACTCGACACCCAACATCCATATAGCGGAGAAGTACGCAAAAGAGTTTGTATTTAAAGGGGAAACGTATCTAGTGGTCCTTCAAAATAGAGTAAATCCGAAGAACTTGAAGCGAATTAAGACATATATGGGAGAATATTGGATCTCCCCGAAGGGAGAGGATTTAAGAGTGTACGGGATATGTATTAAGAAAAAGGAACGTTTCGCAATACTTCGTTTCATATGGCAACAGATTGGTGGACCGTTTTTCCCACAACATCGGACGTTGGATATTTAGCTATACGTAGGAAAATAATAAATCATCATCCATCGTAATTCATCGAAGGTACCAATTATCACGCCAGCAAAAAACTTTCTAGCACAATCGCACTTGCGAATATCTGTTTTGAGGAATTGAACTTCTATTGCTTGGATGACAAGGCGAAAGATCAGATTACAAACTCCGTCAACAACAATAACAATACAGTAAGTCCTTGCATAATGATCAGGTCGATACGCCAAATTGCCAGTTACCGTATACATTATACAAACGAATTCAACCTTTTTATAACAGTAACACTATATTCCTTATTGTTCACACATATTACTGTACAGTATGCTTGCGCTATTTGTCATAATTACTGATATTATTCTCCTGAAAATGAAGAAATAAAAAGCGTAGAGATTAATTGTTTCATGGCACTTTTTTTCCTAATTACGTTTTTCATCGTAAACAAATATAGCATCCTTCAACAGAAGGAGATATTTTCCCAGAATCGATTTAGAAATTTCATTGATTGTTCGCTGACAATGAGAAAAAATTGTAGTGTTCCTAAAGAATACAATGGATGTTTTGCATACTATTATTATCGTTCAATCTCATTGAAGATCATTGGGCACTTTTTTATCATTATAATGATCGTCTATCTCACAGAAAAGGCAAGGTATTACGGGCGATACAATGCGGATGCGTATATCAAATTCAGTGATCGTTCATCTTTGCAGGTTCCCTTGGTTGTTCTAACGAATATTGTTACGTCATTAGGAAGAAAACATTGAAAAATCGGGCGCTTAAATGGTACGTTTTATTTTTATGAATCGATTAGAAATGAAAGATTAGATCTTTTGAAATTGCACGCATTATACGAAATAGATCACCAAGGTATATTGGATGCGTGTATTGTATATAATGAATCTCATCTCTAACGGGTTTCCTTGATACGTGCTTGAAAATCATCTTTTGCAACTATCTGAACCCAAAAGACTGGCCAATGGGTATGCAGATTAGGGACAGCGTTTGTGACACAATTTCCATGCATGCGTGGTGTGTGTGTGCAACCAATAAACATTTCTCTAATTAGTGATGAATTAACGGCTACGTATTTAAAAAAAAAAAAAAATAAGCATTATTCGCATACTCTCATAACGCGCGCGCGTAATGTTTGTTTTGATGTACCATCTAATGGCCTTGTCCAAACGTAGAGGATGGACAAAGGCAATTATCATAGCCTCCATGCCTTGTAATAATAGAAGCTAAGCCAAGGAATACATCTACCTGAACACAACAGAACAATATACAAATATTTATTAATAAACAAAAGTACCATACTTTAAAATCACTGCGATGGTATCTAAGCCATTTTATTTAAATTCACCAAGCCTCCTCCATCGGAATCTTTTCTGTGAATTTTTCCCACAAAATAACTTCGTTGCCAATTATACTATCCAAGGTTCAATTCCCTGTTAGGAACAAGAAATATCAAGTTATTCTCATTGTTGGAAACTAGATTTATTCCTTTATGTGAAATAATGTTACATAAATTTTTGAAGCGTTGTTCCATCATAAGATTCAAGATTTATCGATTCTTTCTAAGAATCTTTCGCTCTCGTCACCGGAAGCCAACTAAAGAAAACCCGCCGTCATCACCTTATAATTCTAAGCAAAAGACTTCCACCAAAAAGATAAAAAATATTTCACGAAGAGAATACTACCGAATTCGTTCATTCAGGCGCAAGAAGAAGTCATTTGCCTGGAATATCCTGAAAAACATCATAAAAATTATCACATTTGGTCATGCTGATATCGACAAAATGTTTACTCGGCCGTCTGCTAGGAATCATGGGCTTCCTTGTCCTATTTGCATGGGAGTTTCCTGTGATACAAGCATCAGTAATAAACACTCAAGGATTCAGATCAATCGTCATTCAGTCTCCAGTGGAAGCAGAAAGCTTTAAGATTGGATCAACACATGTGATAAAGTGGAAGAGTACTTTGCCTCCAAATAGTAGGTATTTTTACAATTCATCTTTGCAGCAAGGAATATATTGAATTATTAATAAACCCGACCCTCTGTTTGATTTAGCTGAAGTTGTGATAGAAATATTAGCCTCGCCGAGGTATGAATTAGAACCTCCGGAGATGATTTGGAAAACAACCGCCGTTAGTATCTCTTATACTTTACACAACTTCTGAGTAGACTTAAAAACCCAAGCTACTTTTCACGTTTCTAACGTGATCACCTTTGATGTTTAGAGAATAAGCGATAAACAAGTAAAATTCGTGGTTGGCCATTGGTCATACCTGAACATTTATTTCGCAAAGGTTTATACACAAGATTACCCGAGAATATATGGTACCTCTGGGCACTTCACCATCTATTCCTTAGCTATACCAACGTGATACACTACGCATATATCTTAGAATATTCTCTAATTATACCTCACACGACCTTTTTTTTTT